CTTTTTGTTTACTTTCAGCACCAAAAACTTTCGAATTGTTGCATTCAAAACATCTATAAATTTTTTTTAAGGGGGCAGATGATAATTTTCAATTCTATGGGGAGCCGGGCCCCCCTGGACTCCCCTTTCGTACGTCTATGGCAAGGGAGTTAAGCCATTGAAGTCGATGATGTCCAGAAAGGAGCCTCTTAGCATCCGACAACGGAAGAAAATGAAACACAGTTACTAAAAATATCATTCTACATATACTCAAAATCTTGAAAATCTCTAAATAAGTAAGAAAAATTTTATAGTGCCCTAGCGTGTTTTTGAAACTTTATTCACCTTTTGCGGAAATTTTAGGGTAATTTTTTCACTTTTCCCTACGAGACAAGGGTTACACATGAATTCGTAGTGGTTTGTCACCTGCGTCACGGGCCCCTCCAGGGCCCGGGCCCCGGTACCAAGGACCCAGTATCCCCCCCTTGTGGCGGGCCTGCCTACTACAGTCGGTGGCTCCCTTAAATATTTTAATAGTTCCTAGAATTTTTACAGTCACTATAAAGCTTTTCGACAGTAAAACTTTCAAACCACGCATCTTGGTTTGCAACTTGTAGACTTCCATTTATATTGTAGTTTTTCAATGAAAATCTATTTCCCATCAACTCTCAAAAACTTCAGTGATTTTTCTTCTGTGTGGAGGAAATTTTGTGAGGACTTGAAAAAGTGATGACTTCTTCTTTGATAAAATAAAATGGAAGCGGAGTTTTAAAAAAAACAGCAAACGATATAAGTGAAATAGGATTTTCACTGTTGATGTGTATCCTTTTATTTGGATAGTCTATTCCCAGATTGCTACTAAATTTTCAGGTCAAAATTAAGTAAACTTGCACAATCCAATTTCAAGAGCTGTAAAAATTTCGCAGATCAAAAAAGAGGCGTTAACTACAGATTGAAGGTGAGATGATAATGAGTTTGCTCCAAAAAACAAAAAGAGAGAAGCCAGAATGGAGGATTAGTTAGTGATAGCCAAAAGAAAAAGAATATTAGGAACAGAAAAGTTCTTTCTGCCGGAAGATTTCATCACCTCCTGATCAACATATCATAAACAACACTTACACTTTAACACTATTTTGCCGGACATCTCAATATTGTTTTAATTTTTTCTTCAAAACGTTTACAAATACGTTCATGAAAATTTCAAAGATTGTTCTTGACACCAAGAGAATATTAGGTAAAATTTCCAAGTGATGCTGTTCATTAGTTCTTCCGTAAAAAATTGGACAAGTTTTGGCAACACAGTGCCGAAGCACAAATGGCGATTATGAACTTTGGCTGAAAGGTGACAATTTTTCTTACTGTGCTCCAGAATTAGAAAAAAAAGTGTAAGAAAAATTAAAAATTTCAATTTTCACTTCTCCACAATAAACTCCGAAAGTTTTTTAAATCCTAAATTAGGCTCCGAGCAGGGTTTCCAGGAACGCATAATACAAATTTTGGGTGAAAAATTTGTGGTTAAAATAAAAATTGCTGATCGTTTTCAAAATAGGCATAAAAACTTACTGGTATGATTCATTGACAAGAGGGAATCGGTGCTATTTGTAGAATTCTGTAAAACAAAAATAAGGAGAGGTTAAGTAAGGATGATAATTTTAAACATCATGAGTGAAAAAATAGAAATACATACTACTCGGCAGATTTTTTTTTTTTTTTTTTATTAATTAAATACATAGATAACTACAAAAATGTATTAATCCTAGGCAGGGTTAGTTAGAGAATGAGGCTCTTGCAAGCTCACTTGGAAACTAAAAAATAGGCTGATTTTCGATGTGAAACTGCTGACAAGACAAACTTACCTGAATAGATATGCACAGCTTCCCATGTCAGCTAGTTGCATTCTCATTTTAGTGTTTTAAATTTTTTATTTCAGCTCTTCCCCGAAATTTTTCCTTGCCTCCCTTCCAATTATATGATGAGATAGGTGAAAAATAAAGGATAATTAAAAAAAGTAAAATTCAGACAAACTCACTGTTAGATCGTGGACAATTGGAGTGGTCGTTTCAATTGCGTCACTTGAAATGCCCTAGAGAAAAAAGATTATTTATAGTAAGAGTCAAATATTACTGACATATATGTTATTTGTATAGTCTTGTTCTTGCACCACCTATTTTTGTAATTGACGATTGCGAGTTCAAGGATTTGTAATGAATGTCGAATAAATACTTGAAAAAAATCTCATTAACTGAATCTGAGGGTTAAGATAAGAGAGAGCAATAAATTAAAAATGAACCACATCTTAGACATGATACATCAAAGATGAAACTGCAAAAGTGCAGATCTCAATTGCGGTATTTCAAGATTTCTGATCCTGTTTTATGTTAAACAAGAGGAAAAATTCAACATGAATATGTTGGAAAAACGTGCCGAATAACTGAAATGTTGGACACATACCTACTATTTTCATGTCATTGCTATTTGTATCAATTGGTACTTTTTGCTAAATTTAAGAGAAAATATTGATTCATGAACGTTGAATGTAAATTAATTTTAAAGATTCTGTCCAATTATCTTGATTATTGGCTGATATGCAGCATTTGAGCACAACCGCAATTTGTGGCCAACTGCCGTGCATCAGCTTAAAATCAAGACAATTGGACGGAATTTTAGTGCGTTTTCATCATAATTTTGTGCTGGAACTAAATTTTTATCGATTCAATGGCCGAATTGGCTGCTTAAAAAGCAGGACATTTTTGGAGGGTTCCATTGGAAAATTCTTTAATTATCGGCTCTCAGGAAATCATCACACGGCTAAAATTGGTTGTATTGGTGTTCGAGTGCTTAAAATAATCGTATTTAAGAAACTCAGACATTAAACTATCGCCTTAATTTCTTTTCAATAATATAACGGGATTTCCTAATAAAATTGCTCCAACTTGAGATCCACTCAAATGATGTACACTCGGTTCTTAAGCCACTGATATTGAGTGAAAAAAATTCTGCTGTAAACAATGAAATAGAGTACTTACATTCTCTCCCTTGTATTTGTTGAGCTCTTGGTTAGCGCAACTCAGCTCACTTTTGTACTTGTTCACTTCTTGGTCCATTTCTCTTAATTTATCCTTCAGAAGTTCAATTTCTTCTTCCAGAGGCACCAGCAGAGATCTTAGAACTTCAGAATCTTCTTTTGCCTGAAAGTAAAGTCCAAGCGTAAGAAAAGAAAAACCGAGGAGGTTAGACGACTGTGAATTCAAAAAGTACATGTTGGAACATAACTGAATAAATAGATGTGGACTTAAAGTTTTCTAAGTTTTCTAGGTAAATTTTTTGCACAAAATTTACTTTGAACAAATTTTGTTCAACCTTACTTGTACCTCAGTTTTTCAAAAAAGCAACTCCCTTTTTCATTCAACGAAGACTTCAATTCTTTAACTTAAACTTGGTTTTCATGCAGAAAATACTTGAGCTTGCTAGCCACAGTTTGCAGGCAACTATAGGAAATCTGTGAACTTCAGAAAACATTTTTTAAATAGAGGAGTATTTTGCCTTCCTTTTTTGTGAAAAAAATGTGAAAAAGAAAAAGAAAAAAAATAGAGAAAAGCACCGCTTCATTAAATTTTTTTACTCAACATGTGCTTGTGACACTTTTACAAAGTAGAGAAATTTTTGAGACTGAAATTGCAACTAATTTTTGCTCTGTCCAGCTTTCTTCAATCTACGCTACAGATTAGAATGTAAAATAGTAAAATAAATGAGAGGAACGTACATATTTGTTTACCTTCCGCATAGACTCTTCTAGGCTTTCAGTAAGTGCACCGGTAGGTGAGAGAAATGAACTTGAAGTATTTGTGGCCACAGAGACGGCTGATGAGTCTGAGTTGAGTTGGCTAGAGATCTGGTTGGTCACTTTACGGGCAAACGTTTGGATCATGGCGCCAGCTGCAGCTAACGGAGCTCCGTCTTTATCAATTTCGACACGGGTTGATTGACCCTTGATCTCAGCTAATTCTGCCTCAAGGGCTTCATTCTTTCGCGTTAAAAGAGTCGACTCATCGATTGTTTCTGGAAATAAAAGGGCAAAAATCTACAAATAGATGATTGTTTAGAACTTTTTTTAAAATATTCATAAATTGAACATGTCTACTTTATCCGGTAAAATAAATTGCATACCAGTTTTGTTCCATCCTCGATCTCTTCTTTGAATGTATTTTTGTTTCATATCTCATTAGCATTTAGGACCGGGAGAGATCAGACTTCAGCTTAAATTACGTAAATAGGGACTCCATTAGTACCTACCAGAAAAATAACCATAGTTTCTGGCTGCCGCCCCGTTGGGACATTCTATGGATCATTCCTCAGAGAAAAGGAAGAAAAGTTTCGGACAAAAAGCTTATTCACAGGTTCTCTTTAATTTTTGCATGCTTTCCAAATGCACTAAACAGGATAGTAGAAGAGTGTTGAGTCCACACCATTTTGCAAGGAAATGAAAGTTAAGAAATCCAAAAATTAACATTAGGCTCATGAGATGAACTCTAATGAGTTTCAGTACAAGTTTGAGGGAAAGAAAAATTCAGCTCAGGCAGATCCTACCATCCTATTACAGTATTCAGAACACATTTTTAGGGTTTTTTTCTTAAACACTAAACTCAGTCTAGTGCATTTAAATATATAGGTGTAGAACAGGGGGGGGGGGACCACTTCTATATGTTTTCTGATCTATTGTACAGGCTCATATCTCTGCAAAAAACTGAACATGTATGATTGGACTACCAACCACCATGAGCTATAAACAACATACTTCTGAGTAGAATTTAGCCCTTACGCTTGAGTATACATGAAAATACATACCATTTACTATTTGCTGAAGCGATGAAATTTCATCCTGATATGTGCGCTTTTGAGACTCAAGGCTTTCAGTCTCTAAACTGACAGCTGTTAATTGACTCCTCGTCTCGTCAAGTTCTGTCTGAAGTCTTTTGATTTCTTCCTTCAGCTGCTCTTGCTCAGCTGCCTGTTTCTTCAGCTCCTCTGCAAACAAAAATATGAGTTGAATGAAAGGTTTAACTTCACTTCTAAAGAAAACAAACAGCTGCTATTAAAAAAAGGTAAAAAATACGACCTCTCAGCTACTCATCTAATTAATAATACTCAAGTAAGTAATGTTCAAAACGGCAAGAGGTTTGAAAGCCGATTGGCTTTTACTTTCGAAAAGGAAGCCACTAATCAAAAGTAGAAGTTATATAACAGAAAAACCAAAATAAAACAGCAAAGTATTAAAGTAATAATAAATATGAATGGTGCAATAGAAAGTGGCAACATTAAGCAAACATCACATAAAATAAAACCTTATGTTTTTGAATATATACAAGACAATCACTGATTCTTCCAATTCGATTAACATAAGTACTAACAAGATATGATGTTGCTTGTCACAATTTTCATTCAATTATTGAAAAATGTAAGACAATTTTTTAGGAAAAAAGCCTGTCTTTCACGTTTTAAATTGTAACCGGAATCTGTGGAAAGGGATCTTTTCCTTCGGAAGAAATATTTCCTAACTTTTTTTCAAAAACTTAAACCACCGGAAGCTGTTTCAAAATTTCTCCACGACCTCAGAATTTTTGACTTGGAACTTCAGGACACACATCTCCTTCAATTTTTGAGCTTTCAGCGTCAAACTTATGCCAAAATTCCCAGATTTTCTTCCTCCGAGCATTTAAAAAAAGTTAGGAAAATTATTCTTCAAGAGAGTAAGATCCCTTTTCACAGATCCGATCACAAGTATCAACAGAGTTTCTCAACTTGGAAAAGTTACCTGCTTTTTTAAGAAATACCCTTTACATGTATAAAACACATCCATGAAATGAGAGAGACAGAACTTGAACAAAAATTCTTTCTCATGAGTGTATGCACCAAAATAGAAACGTAGGTAAATTTTTTTTTGGAAAGCTTTGAAACAAAAGATGCCCTTGTAATAAATGATTGGTGCTTCATGCTATCAACATACGTGCAAAAACAAAACATGGAATAAATACTGTACAGGGAAGTTGGGAAGGTAAGAAAAATTAAACGAAATCAGTTGAAACAAAAACCGAGTACTTAAATGTGATATGAGCTGATCAAAAACATGAATGGTACTGAGACTTTTGTTAGATTTACAATGAAAATTTTACTAGGAAAGAATTAAAAGTACAGAAGAAATAATTTTTCTATTTCTGAAAAATTATTCATTTAAAATCGCAAGATATAATACTCAAATAAATAAGGCTTGAATAAATTATTGGGAGATCTCCACACTACTGAGCTGGGTAGGGGAGTTCCAACTCCAACTGAAAGTAAAAGTGAAAGCTTGCTATCAGTTGGGACACAGCACAGTAATTACGAGTGCACTGGCTGTCTTATCTGGTTTGAGGTTTTCCACTTTGGTTTCAACATACGTTTTCAATTCTTCTACTCAACTTTTTGGACTATGTTCTGAGGTAAGAGAATGAACATTTTTAGTTTGTTAACTCATTCATATTTTTTGAAAACGTGGACTAATATTTTATGTTTACATATTCTCAAAAAAATTTCATAATAAAAAAAAATAAAACTTAATTTTTAAAATAAGTAGATGCATGTTAGGTTTAAAAATGTGACAATCCATAGAAAAAGGGACCTTAGAAGGAAAAAACTTGAAATTGAGATATTCATACTACTTATAGCTTGGAGGAATGTTTTAAAATCATTTTAACATAAAAACACCCGAGCATGCCTAAAAAAACTGAAGATAGGATGTTTAATATTTTCAGTCTGAAGAACGCACACTTCTGAGAAAAAGTTTGGAAAGTTCATATTTAAGTATGAGAGAAGGGAGGAGAGAGGGAGGGGGGA